TATTATTTATAGTGACAACAAACTGTATTTAATATCGTTATTTCCTGCACATTTCGTGAATGAGAAGACTTTATAACACTTGTACACAACTAATAAGGTTTTTACTTTGCACTAAATTAATATTTTAGTATATCCGAGCTGTTTTATAATTTTAATAACAGAAATACACGGAGCTGATCTTAACCGTGGCAACTAGCGCCCTCAGTGTGAAAAAGTATGAGGTTAGTATACTGAGCAGTTAAAAGTGATTTACATTTTATAAACGGCAAGTATAGGTAAATATTATTTGAAAATATTAAATTAGTTTTGATTAAAAATATAACAATTAAGAGTGTACGTTTAATATTAGTGAATGAGTGGTTTAGTTGTGTTGTGTTCGAGTGTATTGTGTAAATAAGTGACATGTGTATGTGGTGAGTATGATGAACACTTAAAAGTGATTTATATGTTATTCTCGGCAAAAGTAGATAAATATTATTTATAAATATTAAATTAGTTTTGAATAAAAATATAACAATTAAGAGTGAGTGTTTACTGTTAATGAGTATGTAATTGAGTTGTGTTGTGTTTGAATGTATTATGTAAATAAGTGAAATAAGTATTAGGTGAGTATACTGAACAGTTAAAAGCAAGTTACATTTTATACACGGCAAGAATAGGTAAACATTATTTAAAAATATTAAATTAGTTTTGAATAACAATAGAACTAAAACTAATAGAGACATTATCACACTTATTACTAGTCACTTTTGTAAGTTTAATAATTTCTTTAATTCCTCTTCATTATCTATTTTTAGTGCTTGTTTTCCCTCATTCTGACGCATATAGATTTTTCCATAGGATATCCAGCAATATTTATATCCATTTTCTTTGGCAAATTTTCTAGATAGGTAAAAAAAGATTTCTTGCATATGGAGTAAGATACTCAGAGATGTATATAGGCTTTGCGGGACCAGTGAGACCAATGAGTGACGTAATGAGAGAAGTTCCGTTATTGGTTTTGCTGAATCTACGGGCGTTTTTTTATTAATTTTTCTTTTGCAAGGGTTGATGTGAATTCAGCAACTATCGTCGAAGCGTGGGTGCTTTTATTTGTTGTGCGATATATGTTTTTTAAATCACTGGGCTGTACTAACACATCCAACGTTTGTGCGGTTTTCTGAACAATGCTGCATAGCTCCTATTTTGTTTCGCGGTCATTTTTGGGAATATTTTTGAATTCAACTTTAGTCGAATGCAAAAGGTGTTCTAAGTGCGAGATTTTATCTTCAAGTTTGCGGATGTAGGCACGATCTTCTTTTTCTCTCGGCTAATAGCGCCAGAAACTTATTATTTAAATCATCGTACTGACGTGATATAAAGTTCAGCGAATCCATGATTCCAGAATTTTGAGAGATTACTTCCTTAATGCTGGACTCCAAGGATGATATTTTTTTGTTGATTCTGCGAGGCGGCGGTTGAAATCATCTCTTTCATTTTTCTCATGAAGTGATTTAACTCTAAATTATCAATTTTTCGCCTAGTAGTAACAAAAGTATCTTCGAAATTAGATAAGTTCGTCCCTAAGATTGACTGTTCTGTTTTTGGTGTAGGAGTGACTTCTAGCGTAGAACTACTAGTTTTATTTGTAAGAGGAGTCTTCGGTGGTGTACGTTTTAGCGGCATAATTCAATTTTTGTAAAGCAAAAAGTTGAGTAAAGCTTGAATCAATTAGGCGTATGCATAAAATAATAGCGAGTAGGCCTAAATGCAAGCGCAGTTAAACTTTCTGTCGGCAACTTGATGAGAAAGACGGATGACTATTAAGTTGAGATGTGCGATGCAAAGTTGACACGCCTCCGCAAGCAGTGCTCCAGCGCAAGAATGCGTCGCTAACGGAAGCCAATGACAGCGCGATAATTAGTAATGGGAGCGCAAACAAGTATGTTTATTTCACTCACCCGGCTCTTTCTAGTATATCAACACCTCCACAAGATTTCTGCGGTCCTATTATTTAGCGTAAAATTCAATGAATTTAAATTTTAAATAAATTTTGTTTAATAACTAAAAATGAAACACGTCCACACTGAACGGAGTCCACGAGGGGAGAGAGAATGACGTGCAGTTTCGTGGTCACTTGTGTGAAGAGAAGGCCAAATTGGCCTCTAAAAAGCTTGGCGTGCTCAGCAGAGCGGGACAGTATTTCATGCCGGCACACCGCTGCGACTTTACAAGGCGCAGGTTCGGCCGCACATGGAATACTGTTCCCATCTCTGGGCTGGGGCTCCCCAGTACCAGCTCCTTCCACTTGACCGCAGCCAGCGCAGAGCGGCTCGAATCGTCGACGACCGAGTGCTTTCCGATCGGCTCGATTCACTGGCACTGCGAAGAGATGTTGCATCTCTTTGCATTTATTTCGCATATACCATGGAGAGTGCTCTGAGGAATTGTTCGGATTAATCCCAGCCGCCAAATTTCGTGAACGCACTACGCGGCAAACGTCCCGATACCATCCACACTATCTGGATGCTTGGTGGTCCACCACAGTACGTTTCAAAAGGAGTTTTCTTCCGCGTACAACCTCTCTGTGGAATAGTTTACCACCGGCGATTTTTCCGGACCGATACGACCTGGGGACCTTCAAGAAAAGAGCTTACTCCTTTCTAAAGGGCCGGCAACGCACCTGCAATTCCCCTGGTGTTCGGTTGATCATGGGCGGCGGTAGTCACTTAACATCAGGTGAGCCGCATGCTCGTTTGCCCCCTCTTCTATATAAAAAAAAGAAACGACGATTGCTAATGCTCTACGTGAATTACACAATTATCACTAAAAAATGTCACTGTTCTTGACAATTATTATAACGTAAACTTGTTTTGGCGCCTTTTGATTTATTTATTTCTAGAATCCAACGAGAAACTGGAAAGGTAGGCAGGCAGGCGATTTCGCGAAGCCACACTTTCGCCGAGACTAAATTACGCGCTCACCGACACACTGCCGTCTTCAACCACGTACTCTTTACGCCGAAACGCTGTCCCTCTTCTTAGATCGCGAGGAATTATCTGGCCAGCATCCGCGGAGTATGCACTCATGTCGATACCGTAGCCGAATTAATAGAATTGCAGCCACTGTCTGGTACTCGACGATGCTGAGGTTGAGAGAAAAAATGGCGGGCCATTTGTTGAGCACGATGCTGCCACTTTAATCTGGCGAATTTCTTGTATTTCACACATCTCACGTTGGATCCTTACTTCACGAAGGACCAATGTTGCGCTGGTTATTGCATATTAAACGAGATTTGGTTGTATGAATTAAAAAAGACGAAAAATCTTGAGAGCGATGTAATCGTGAGAATCTTTGGGAACCCAGTGTTGCCACACGGCTAATATATTTTACATGAAATCTTAGTGTTGCTACATACAAACAAATGTTGCCATACGGCATAATTATATCTTAATGTTGCTACATAAACGCAACAGGCGTTAAATTGTGCATTAATGTTGGAAAAAGGGCTTGTTGCAGGGATGGATGTTCTGACCTCCCTCTGGAACTCATCCATACGTGAAGTGAAATTTAGCGTTGGCTCTTCAATTGACTTCTAACGCCGGCAATACACGTTGGCCAAGCCTCAGTTAACGCGAGCGTATGCAAATTGATACAAGGCGAGTGCTACAGTCTACACGTTGGTCAAGTTCGAAAGAGACCAATTCCAAGGCCAATATTCACGAGTTTTTGTGGAGCTATCTACATGTAGGCCGTAATTAGTTGTCATTGAGAATTGGGACGATATGGACGACGTAGAAATTATTGCCGCATCTGCAATTTATTTAATGAGTGCATATAATTATTATATCAGTGTACTCCGTAGTAAAGTCATTAAAAAGAAGAGGCAGAAAAGAAGGTGGTGGATGCTGAGTATTCAGAGAAATAGAACAAGGTAAGAAAATTTACGCAAAGGTAGACTTGATTTTAACTTTAAATTATTATAACTGTTGGACAATTATTTATCGTAACTTAACGTATGGTATTATGATAATGCATAAACATTTAAAAAATATGATTTCTTTTTTACAGGGAAAGCATGGAGAATCAGCTTGCTGAACTTCTGCAAGAACCTGAATCAAATGAATTTCAGAACTTTATACGAATGTCTGATAGTGATTTCGAATATTTACTTTAGAAAATCTCTCCAGTAATCAGCAAAAAGGACACAGACTTTAGGCAGAGCATACCAGCAAAAATTCGACTTGCAGTGACATTGCGATATTTAGCAACTGGTGAGAGTTTCAGAAGCTTACATCATACCTTTAAAATATCCAGTCAATTAATATCCAAAATAATTCCTAAAGTTTGTCGAGCACTCATTGAAGTTTTGAAGGACATGGTTAAGGTAAAATTAAATAACAACACTTATATTTTCAAATTTATTAAATAATTTATACAAAGACAAACTTATTATGCTATTGATAACCAAAGTAACATTGCGCAAAAAAAATATTTTAGTGTTAAAAAATAAAGTTAAAAAATAAGTAAAAAAATGTGATTATTAAGTAGATGAAATTATAAAAAAAATCATAAAACATTACCCCTAATAAACAAAAAAAATGAATATAAAAACTCTCTTCTGGAGCAAATATTACAAATAAAATATAAAATACAAATTAAATATCATCTTCAACTGATTTGGAAAAAGCTTCCCGAATTGGATTAATTTGTCCCGAATCAACCACTTCATCATGTAAAATTTTTATTCTATTTCCTGATTGACGTTTTGATGTAAAAGTTGAACTATAAACGTCGGATGATGGAGCGTGGGATTTCTGTACTGGCAATGTTGCTGTAGTGGTTGATGGAGTAAAGTGTGGGTGTTGCGGTGACAACATAATTATGTTTGGTGTTAGTAAACTATTTGGCTCTGGTATGCTTAACATAGGATAACCAGGGGATGAAGATGGCTGCTGTGGCATTGATACAGGCGAGTCTGATGTAATATAAAAAGTTTGCCAAGATGAAGGACGGTGTATTTAAAGTGGTGATGCAGGTGAGAAAGAATCAACAGAGCGCGGAGTACTTGGGGAAGAAATATAACTCTGTGTTTGGCGATTCCTTATTCTTTTTATTAATACATTGTCTAATTCACACATGACTTCCTGTTGTTCGACATCAGAAAAATACTTCTTCAATTTTGATGCTAGAAGTTTTCCATAGAGATCACATACATCATCTCCTTGGTTCATTTTGTTGGATAATACAGCATTGATAGTACCCAATGCAATTTTCATGTGCCTGGTTGCCTCTTGAAGTTCAGTAGGGTTAGAGGAACGACGCTTCAATACGTTTTTATTAGAGGGGGTTGGAAGTCCTTCCTGTGTGGTGATATTTGCAGGGCGTGCAAGCTTCTCTTGTTCATCTAACACTTGTATTGTTTCATACGTTTGAGGTTCGACTACTGGGTGTTCATATCTTTGTGTCTGAGAAAAAGTGTATTTTATCAGTTTAATAAATAATACTATTTCTTGTTGCAGATCCCTACATCCCCAGAAGAATGGCTTACTGTAGCAAGAGGATTTAGGTTCCCGCATTGTGTTGGGGCATTAGATGGTAGACATATTAAATTACAATGCCCACCTAAAACTGGTTCAGAATATCTAATTATAAAGGGGACTTTAGTATTGTCCTATTGGCTCTAGTAGACAGTAATTATTGCTTCTTATTTGCTGATGTAGGTGCCCAAGGCCGGATAAGTGATGGTGGTGTTTTAAGACAAAGTGCATTGTGGAAAAAACTTAATAACAATAGTATTAATTTCCCTTCGCCATGTCCACTATCAGGGTCGGATATTAATTTCCATATGTTATGTTAGGTGATGGAGCATTTGCACTTCACACAAATTTAATGAAACTATATTCTGGAAATCACGAAATGCGTAGCCCCCAAAGAATTTTCGACCAAATGCTTTCTAGCTCTCGCGTTATTGTTGAAAACACATTTGGTATTATGGCCAGCATATTTAGAGTATTTAAAAACCCTATACCTCTGGATGTAGAAAAAGCATCCATTGTAACAATTACATGTGTTCTTTTACATAACTTTCTTCGAAAAAGTAAAACATCTCGGGATATAATATACACTTCAGATGGAACCATAGATAGATATGTTAACGGCGAGTTAATTGTACCTGGCTCTTGGAGACGAACAGATCATTCTGTTTTCTTTCCCTTACAAGCTATACCCCGCAGAAATCCAAGAAATTCAACAGAAGTAAGATCAAATTTTGCATATTATTTTGCTAAAACATTAATTATAAACATTAAGTATAAAAAATTGATTAATAGACTGATTAATTCGAATGATCTTGTTTAAAATTATTAAAAAATATGATAAAACTAGCATCATAGTTTATATCTTATATGTTTGTATTACTTCTAGTAATTCTATAGATTTAAGTGTGAAATAAATACATTTTGTGTGAACTGTGCTGTATTTTATTTTAATTGATTAAGTTAGGTAATTAGCAATGTATCCATTTTACTGGAACATTCATATACATCTCCCAGAAACGACTCCATGACATCATAAAATACCCAAATGGGTTTATATACGTCTTCATAACCACATCCAGAAGATACTGAAGCCTTTTTCTTTTTAAGTGTTGTCTAAATGTGGCCATTAAAGCTTCTTTCTTTCTTTTGAGATCAGGAATAGAAATCTCCATTTCATTGGAGATCCTTACCCAAGCATCATGCACCTAAAAAAGAAATAATAATAAATTAATAAATTCAGAAATTCTAACTTTTCTCTTCTCAAAAGGCATAAATCCTATATTATCTTCCAATATATCCATACTGCTAATAAATTATTATCTTAAAACACATTTTTTTTTAAAAGAACCAGGAGACATAATAAACTTAAGCCTAACAGGGTCCACATAATTATAATTCACCTAAATAACTCGTGGAGATGTGGAGTACAATAAATGAATTGTGTATTAAACAATGTTATTCCAAACTTACATGAGGTGTAATTTATTGGTTGATTGACATATCAGCTGTTTATTACAGGCAATACAATTTTAAAGCTTTATTTACCACATACTTAATATATTTGCCTAGGCTACTTATGATACTCGTAGATATGATATAGCTACTCTTAACAAGACGAAATTTGTATTTAAATTTGATATTATATATAAGAATTTGAGGGAAAAACAAACACTTAAATAAAACAAAATAATTGAATAATACTCACTTTCTTTTTATCTTTGTGGTGTAAGTCTTTGGGGTTCCAAATAACGGGTTCATTTTTGTATATTTCCAAAAACTTAAAGGTGTCCTCGTTAGTACAGAGTGACATTGTCGAAATTATTTAAACGCAGAGTACTTTTTTATATAGGATTTTAAAGTTGCAATTTAATCACATAAACAATATATCACTGGGACGGACACCAAGCTGTAACTGACATGGCCGCCAACATGTGGACACGACTTGCCGAACATAAACTTGATACAGTTAAAATAACGCTGTTCAAAGCGTTTTGTCAATCATTTTACTCTAGTGCCCTGTGGGTGACATATACGCGTCGAGCTATCAATGCTCTGCGCGTACAGTATAATAACGCTTTCAGGATGTTGTTGCGGCTGCCGTGGCATTGCAGTGCATCAGGTATGTTTGCACAAGCGCGTACTGACACTTTTTCAGCGATCATTCGAAAGAAAACAGCCTCACTCTTGCAACGCTTACGAAACAGTAATAACAGCATCCTGAGAGCGATATCTGTAAGATATGACTGTCCCATACAGAATCACTGGGTGGGCGTAGTCATAGGATTAAAATAATGTGTAATTACTTACAATACTAACATAGTTTTAAGCCACTATTGTTACTAACAACATTACTAACAATATATGGACCATGGTCTGAAATAAAATTATTATTATTATTATTGTGGGGCATCTATATAGTTCTCCCATCTGGTTGGGTTCTATAAATATATAATTATAAATGAAAATGAAAAGATAAATATACATAAATATCAATAACATAAAATAAATATAAAAGTACATAAATAAATAAAAGCCCAACCAGATGGAGGCCCTCGGCAGGGGAGACCAAACGGCCGAGGGTTAGGGGGCAAAGGGAAAGAAACCGGCGGACGATGCGGGCGGTATCGAGGAGCACCGCCTTCTGCATTTGAACCTGGAGCGGTCCGCCACGTAGTCCCAGCCGCCTCAGATGACCCGAGAGGCTGACTGGGATTAGCCCGTTTGCAGAGACGACTACAGGAATAATTTCGGTCGGCAGACCACCCCACATGTCGGTCACCTCGTGAGCCAGGTCCAGATATTTTGTTTGCTTGTCTGTTTCGGCTTTCACGAGGTTCTCGTCATACGGAATGGTAATGTCGACCAAAAATATCCTTGACTGTGCCCGGTCCATCAGCACAATATCAGGCTTACTCGCAAGAATAGTCCTGTCTGTGATGATGGCCCGGTCCCAATAGAGCCTGGCGCGATCATTTTCGAGCACGGCTTCCGCCAAGTACTTGTAATACGGCAATTTCCGATCCACGAGACCGTATTTCAGAGCGAGCTCCTGGTGTAAAATTCTGGCTACTACGTTGTGCCTGTGCAAGTACTCAGAGTTAGAAAGCGCCGAACAACCGGAGATAGCATGCCTAAGTGACTCACCGGGATGGCGACAAGCTCGACAGATGTCGACGGTGCCACCCTTTAGGATGTATCTCCGATAGTTGTTGGTCTTAATAACCTGATCCTGTATTGCACAGACAAAACCCTCGGTTTCCCCGAAGAGATCACCAAAGCGTAGCCAGTAGAGGGAGGCTACTGTGTCTACGAAAGGCTCATGTAGAGCCTTGTAGAACCTCCCGTGGAGCTCCTTCTCCTTCCATACGGTCTCCCGGTCGGAAATGCTCTGCACTGCCGGGTCTTGCCATTGCTCGTTGGCTAAGAATAGAGGGGGTAAGTCCTTTATCACAAGAAATGACGTCCTTATAGAATGGATCATCCGATCTCGCCAGGAAGTAATCACGGAGGCTGCACACTTCGCGATTATGCATGGTGAGCGCGCTCAGAAGCCACGACCATCATGCTTCCGCGGCAAGTACAGCCTCATTACCGACGATCTCGGATGATGCATCCTATGGGACGTCGTGGTAGTGCGGACTTTTCTATCCAGGGCGTTAAGTTCAGTCTGAGTCCACCTGAGTATGCCAAAGGTATACATGAGGACAGGCATGACCCAGCCGTTATATGCGTGTGCCTTATTCACACCGGACAAAAGGCTGTTAAGCACTTTGGTCAAGCGTGCATAAAACACGTCGCAAACTGACTGTTTCATACCAGTCTCATCGATACCGATGTTTTGTGACATACCCAGGTATCGGTATGTTTCAGCCTCGGAAAGGGTCCTTAAGTTGACGGGCATAGATAAGTCTACGCCCTCAGAGTTAGCAACCCTTCCCCTTTCAACATGGAGGACCGCACACTTATCCGTCCCAAGCTCCATTCCAATGGAATTGCTAAATTCACAAGTGATGTTTAGCAATTCCATAAGATGGGAGCGACTGGAGGCGAATAACTTGAGGTCATCCATATAGAAAAGGTGGGTCACTTTTGTCCCTCCTTTCCGTAGCTGAAATCCCCTCCCGGAGCCCTCCAGTAAGGTACTGAGAGGGTTCAGAGAGAGGCAGAACCAGATTGGACTCAGACAATCGCCCTGGAAGATACCCCTTCTTATCCTTATGTGGTTCTCCGCAGCCATCATCCGCTCGCCCAGATGACAAAGGATCGTACTCCACTGCCCCATACACTGCTCGAGGAAGTCTCTAACTGTACAGTCTATCTTGTACAGCTCGAGGACTCTCTTTAGCCATGTATGGGGCACCGAGTCGAATGCCTTTCTGTAGTCTATCCAGGCGGCGGAGAAGTTCCGACGGTTGCGTTTCACCACTTTGCCAATGATCGCGTCAATGAGGAGTGGTTCCTTGGTTCCACGACCACCGCCCCGACATCCATTTTGAGCGCGCGACATCACCTGATTTGAGTCCAGGTGACAAGTGATTCTCGCGCTCAAAATGGATGTTAGTGTCTTGTATATGGTCGGTAGACACGTGATGGGGCGGTATTTGCTCGGGTCTGTGATACCCTGGTCTTTAGGAACCAAATGAGTGATCCCAGTAGTGAAGAGGTTTGGGAGCGACTTTTGGTTGAGAGCCTCTTGAAACTGTCGGGCGAGCACAGAGTGACACCCCATGAACCCCTTCAGCCAGTAGTGATGCAGCCCGTCAAGCCCCCTTTTCTAGTTCGGGGCCCTACAGACCGCCTCAGCTACGTCATCCGGCGTTATGATGACGGGGTCCATGGGCGTAATACCCGCACACTGACTCGCCACAACTTCCGTCCAAGGGCCCTCGCTGTGGTTTACGGGCTCTGACCACAGGCCGCGCCAGAATGCTACAGTGTCGGCCTGATTCGGTGCTGGACCCGTTCCACTTACCATTGGTCGCTCCAATGATTCATAGAGCCTCTTCTGATCACTCTGGAAGAGACGATTCTGGTTGAACCGCGTCGACCTCTCGGTATATCGCCGAATCCGCTTTCCCCAAACCAGCGATTCTCTGCTTCAGATCATCTATGCGCTCCGTCAGTTTTTGAGTTATATCCGGCTGGGACAAACTGACATTTGTCCCAGCAAACGCCATCCTGACGGTGCGCACAATTCTTGGCCTGTTTTTGCCTGATCTGAAGCATATCAGTCTGCCGATAAGAGCTCTAGCCTTTGCGATACGTTCCTCAATTCTTCTTCTCCATGCTGGGATAGCGCTACTATAGCCAGTAGCGCGTCCAGCCGTGGAAACCTTGGCGCCTATGATACGGCAGACCGCCAGCGCGGCGCCAAAAAGAATTGAGTCCGTCTCGCAAAGGTCCCGGCTGGCTTCCAAATAGGTCACCAGCATTGGGTTCAGAGCTCTCACGACAGCCCGATTCCGCTTGCTTAGGGCTATGCGGGGGAAGTCGCGATCGATTTTCGAGAGGCGTACTGCGCGTTTCCACAATCGACTGTTCCATCATCGTTTGAATCAACCACAACTGGGGTATTCACGGCGGCATCCACGTTTGCGGGTTGCTCTACCATTTGTGGCGCCGCATCCTCAGCCGTAGCATTCTCATCCGACGAGGGAACAGCCTCACGTCGTAGCCGTTCGAGTTCGGCGACATCAAATATATTTGAGCGCAAGATATACCGAACTCGGTCTGCCAGGTTTTGCTCTGTGACGGTTAAAGATGGCTCCAGCTCAGCAAAAAGACGATGCATCCTAGCCCGATACGCCAAACATCCAGTTTCTTCCCCTTTTGCCCTAAAGTACGCCCGCAGTGCGTTTGCATTCATTACTTGTGACCAACGCGTGCGACGTGCTCCACCAGCGGCGGGTGCCGCTTGCTGAGTCCGAGAAGACCCAGCCGACACCAAGCCTTCTGGTGTGGATGATGGATGCGGGGGGCTGCTAGGTGACCGTGCAGCTCCTTGCGCTCGGCTGGCGGCCCGCGTGCTGCCGCGTCCAGCGCCAGCTCCAGACGCGCCCCGGCGACCCCCAGGCAGCGGCCCTTTGCGCACTATCTTCTTATCCATCATCCATTATTTGGGCGTCCATTAACCGGAGACGCCCAGGCCCGGCACCGTTTCGTGTGTAGCCATAAGCACAAACGGGCCTCTGCACCCTAAATTCTGCCGAGGCACGGCGCTCACACTTCTCGCAAGGCGCTCACTGACTGCGTTGACGTAGCAGTTTTGTCACTTAACTGTTACGTCAGCGGGCGATGGTGTCGTCAATTCCCTACGCCTTTTTTTATTATTATTGTGGGGTATCTATATAGTTTTCTCATCTGGTTGGGTGCTATAAATATATAATTTTAAATGAAAATGAAAAGATAAATATACATAAATATCAATAATATAAAATAAATACAAAAGTACATAAATAAATAAAAGCCCAACCAGATGGAGGCCCTCGGCAGGGGAGACCAAACGGCCGAGGGTTAGGGGCAAAGGGAAAGAAACCGGCGGACGATGCGGGCGGTATCGAGGAGCACCGCCTTCTGCATTTGAACCTGGAGCGGTCCGCCACGTAGTCCCAGCCGCCTCAGATGACCCGAGAAGCTGACTGGGATTAGCCCTTTTTGCAGAGACGACTACAGGAATAATTTCGGTCGGCAGACCACCCCACATGTCGGTCACCTCGTGAGCCAGGTCCAGATATTTTGTTTGCTTGTCTGTTTCGGCTTTCACGAGGTTCTCGTCATACGGAATGGTAATGTCGACCAAAAATATCCTTGACTGTGCCCGGTCCACCAGCACAATATCAGGCTTACTCGCAAGAATAGTCCTGTCTGTGATGATGGCCCGGTCCCAATAGAGCCTGGCGCGATCATTTTCGAGCACGGCTTCCGCCAAGTACTTGTAATACGGCAATTTCCGATCCACGAGACCGTATTTCAGAGCGAGCTCCTGGTGTAAAATTCTGGCTACTACGTTGTGCCTGTGCAAGTACTCAGAGTTAGAAAGCGCCGAACAACCGGAGATAGCATGCCTAAGTGACTCACCGGGATGGCGACAAGCTCGACAGATGTCGACGGTGCCACCCTTTAGGATGTATCTCCGATAGTTGTTGGTCTTAATAACCTGATCCTGTATTGCACAGACAAAACCCTCGGTTTCCCCGAAGAGATCACCAAAGCGTAGCCAGTAGAGGGAGGCTACTGTGTCTACGAAAGGCTCATGTAGAGCCTTGTAGAACCTCCCGTGGAGCTCCTTCTCCTTCCATACGGTCTCCCGGTCGGAAATGCTCTGCACTGCCGGGTCTTGCCATTGCTCGTTGGCTAAGAATAGAGGGGTAAGTCCTTTATCACAAGAAATGACGTCCTTATAGAATGGATCATCCGATCTCGCCAGGAAGTAATCACGGAGGCTGCACACTTCGCGATTATGCATGGTGAGCGCGCTCAGAAGCCACGACCATCATGCTTCCGCGGCAAGTACAGCCTCATTACCGACGATCTCGGATGATGCATCCTATGGGACGTCGTGGTAGTGCGGACTTTTCTATCCAGGGCGTTAAGTTCAGTCTGAGTCCACCTGAGTATGCCAAAGGTATACATGAGGACAGGCATGACCCAGCCGTTATATGCGTGTGCCTTATTCACACCGGACAAAAGGCTGTTAAGCACTTTGGTCAAGCGTGCATAAAACACGTCGCAAACTGACTGTTTCATACCAGTCTCATCGATACCGATGTTTTGTGACATACCCAGGTATCGGTATGTTTCAGCCTCGGAAAGGGTCCTTAAGTTGACGGGCATAGATAAGTCTACGCCCTCAGAGTTAGCAACCCTTCCCCTTTCAACATGGAGGACCGCACACTTATCCGTCCCAAGCTCCATTCCAATGGAATTGCTAAATTCACAAGTGATGTTTAGCAATTCCATAAGATGGGAGCGACTGGAGGCGAATAACTTGAGGTCATCCATATAGAAAAGGTGGGTCACTTTTGTCCCTCCTTTCCGTAGCTGAAATCCCCTCCCGGAGCCCTCCAGTAAGGTACTGAGAGGGTTCAGAGAGAGGCAGAACCAGATTGGACTCAGACAATCGCCCTGGAAGATGACCCCTTCTTATCCTTATGTGGTTCTCCGCAGCCATCATCCGCTCGCCCAGATGACAAAGGATCGTACTCCACTGCCCCATACACTGCTCGAGGAAGTCTCTAACTGTACAGTCTATCTTGTACAGCTCGAGGACTCTCTTTAGCCATGTATGGGGCACCGAGTCGAATGCCTTTCTGTAGTCTATCCAGGCGGCGGAGAAGTTCCGACGGTTGCGTTTCACCACTTTGCCAATGACCGCGTCAATGAGGAGTGGTTCCTTGGTTCCACGACCACCGCCCCGACATCCATTTTGAGCGCGCGACATCACCTGATTTGAGTCCAGGTGACAAGTGATTCTCGCGCTCAAAATGGATGTTAGTGTCTTGTATATGGTCGGTAGACACGTGATGGGGCGGTATTTGCTTGGGTCTGTGGTACCCTGGTCTTTAGGAACCAAATGAGTGATCCCAGTAGTGAAGAGGCTTGGGAGCGACTTCTGGTTGAGAGCCTCTTGAAACTGTCGGGCGAGCACAGAGTGACACACCATGAACCCCTTCAGCCAGTAGTGATGCAGCCCGTCAAGCCCCGGACTTTTCCAGTTCGGGGCCCTACGGACCGGCTCATCTACGTCATCCGGCGTTATGATGACGGGGTCCATGGGCGTAATACCCGCACACTGACTCGCCACAACTTCCGTCCAAGGGCCCTCGCTGTGGTTTACGGGCTCTGACCACAGGCCGCGCCAGAATGCTACAGTGTCGGCCTGATTCGGTGCTGGACCCGTTCCAATTACCATTGGTCGCTCCAATGATTCATAGAGCCTGTTCTGTTCACTCTGGAGGAGACGATTCTGGTTGAACCGTGTCGACCTCTCGGTATATCGCCGAATCCGCTTTCCCCAAGCAGCGATTCTCTGCTTCAGATCATCTATGCGCTCCGTCAGTTTTTGCGTTATATCCGGCTGGGACAAACTGACATTTGTCCCAGCAAACGCCATCCTGACGGTGCGCACAACTTTTGGCCTGTTTTTGCCTGATCTGAAGCATATCAGTCTGCCGATGAGAGCTCTAGCCTTTGCGATACGTTCCTCAATTCTTCTTCTCCATGCTGGGATAGCGCTACTATGGCCAGTAGCGCGTCCAGCCGTGGAAACCTTGGCGCCTATGATACGGCAGACTGCCAGGGCGGCGCCAAAAAGAATTGAGTCCGTCTCGCAAAGGTCCCGGCTGGCTTCCAAATAGGTCACCAGCATTGGGTTCAGAGCCCTCACGACAGCCCTTATTATTATTATTATTATTATTATAAACGAGCGCCTTTGATTTGTGCAGAAAAACCGACACCGTTCCGAAGCGAACGAGCCGTAGCGAGCGATCCCGAGTGGCGGCAAGGCACGCCAAACGAACCTTATACACGTTGGCGCTCGCCTGCACTCGGCCAGCTAGGCAAGCGTCGACGAGTAATGGCGAGGCTAGGCCAATGGGGTGTCTATACGTTGGTACTCGCCTTCGCTCGGCCAACATGTATTGCTGGCTTTAAGCAAATCCACTATGAATATTCAATTAAAGATTATTCAAAGGTCAATATCAGGTGACAGTAAAGTGGCAAATATAAGTTTTAAGTTGTGCAGTGAAAAACTAATTATTAGTTAACAATGCTGGTGGATTTATGTACTTACAGGTACATTTATATACTTGATTGTCCTAGATTTGCTATATTTTAACATTAAAATCTCAGGAACAATTTTAAATATGTCAATACACTTAACACCTACCCACCAAAAAAAGTATAATAAAAAAGTATAATATTAATATAATACTTATCAATACAAATAAATAAAATTGATGTGTCTGTTTGTAATGTCAAAATAACAGCTTTTTATTAAATGCACATGAAAGAATATCTGGTACTTATGAGAAAATACAATTTTTAAAATTTGGTCTGTCTGTACGTCTGTTTGTTCCGGCTAATCCCCGAAACGGCTTGGCCGATTTTTACGGGACTTACACTGGCAGATAGCTGATGTTATAGGGAGTAACTTAGGCTACTTTTATTTCAGAAAAAGTATTAGGGTTCCGCGCAAAAAAAACTAAAACCCTAAATTACGAGTACACGCGGGCGAAGTTGCGGGAAATAGCTAGTTAAATATATAAATCTATAATAAAAATAATACATTTTCGTCATCATTAGAACTCTCTATAGCTCACTGAGTGATCTTGAGCTTATAAGGCCAGCAATGGAGGACCACATCTCAGATCCATGTGTCATCAATGGCAACATGCACTAGTAGATCTTGTTTTCAAGTTTTGAGGTTTATGTGAAGAGATGTGTTAATCTTTAAATGCTTCCCAGCTGAGTTAGATCCATTGATCTTTCGGTTAAAATTGGACTTACTTAATAGGACAATTTGTCCCAGATAAACATGTGGCATTTGTACATAATATGTCAACTAATATTTAAAAAAAAATAACAAATATTTACCCAGCATGTATTCTTTACTATATTTTGGCTTTTTAATTATTGCAAGAGCTACTTCTCCGTACCTTGCCTTCTTTTACAGTATATATGATCATTATAATAGTCAGTGATGGATTGACCTGAAATAAATATTCCTTTAGCTATTTTGTAATCATTTTTGTAAACTTTTCAATCATAGTTGTACTTGAATTTTGATGAACTGTTTGATGAATATTGAAAACATACTGCAAGTTCTCATGGTTAATATTGAATTGATAAATTTAAACCACCCTAAACGGAAAAGATATTTTTCCGTTTAGGGTGGTTAAAATGAAAAGTTTTGCAATAAGAAGCACACAAATGAAACGAATGGCAAATGCACTTCATCATGAATAAATGTGGGATCTCATTTGCAAATAGGGAGGACAATGAATGGTGTGAATGAAACATAGTATATGCACCATCAGCTGCAAACCCAATCATGTTCTCTTTGTAAGGAATGTTTTCATTATCAAAGTATTCTTTGTATTCATTATGTAATGCTGAGGCAGTGCCCTCTACAATTGGTATTAAACATAAAATATTATCTTCCACATTGAAATCTACTGCTGTTATGGCAATGAGCGCCAAGGGTTTTGTCGTTGATTTGCCTGTGCTTTCATGAACGATCAAAAATTTTTTTAAGTTTGTAAAGTCTTAACTAATTCACTGTGAGATAATTTTCCTGTTATATTTGTAACAATGGCTTGTGCCTTAGTTTTTTCGGATGTAATTTCTTTGACTATTTCTGAATCCGAGCAAACATTTTAAATAAGTATAAATAAGTTTCTTTAGGTCACCAGAACAATAATATTATTTAAATACCTATAGTGTCAAAATTAATTTAAATTAAAAATTAAATTGAATAAAAATTAAATTAAATTCATTCACAACAAATTAAAATTATTTTGTTTTGTATGAAATACAACAAAACATAGCCTACATTTATTAAATAATGCATTTGTAGACCAAGCTGCAAGTATACTAACCAGCAATGTTAAAAGGTGGATTATTTTTTGCCAAAAAAACAAGCCATTCTTATTTCTGCTAGGAAGAAGAAGAAGAAGAATTGTTAATATATTATTAATATTAAGCAATTTTTTCATTTAACATTAAATACAAAGTGAAAAAATATTATATTCATGCAGACCCTACTCAGGTAACCACAAAGAAGCTGGCTTGGAAGTATAACCGCTCAGATAAATGAATAAGTGAACTAAATTGCTCACTAATTGCTCAATTCAAATCCGCATTTGCTCACACTATTAATGAATTATTTTATTAGTTATTAATAATTAAAAATACAAAATATTTTTTCCCTATTATACTTAAAACCAATGAACTTTTCTAAAAACGAATAAATACCATTAATTGCTCAAGAAATGCTTAATTCAAAACCGTATTTGATCACACTATTAATTCATTATTTAATTAAAAATTAAAAAATGAATAAAAAAATGAATAAGTACTCCTTATTGCTCACAAAATGCCTAACCGTAATACGCAATTGTTCAAACTATTTACTAATTATTTAATTAGTAATTAATAATTAAATGTAAAAAATTTTTACCTATACCGATCATAATATTGAATTGGTGCACAAAATTGCTCACTAATTGCTCATTTCAAATCTGCAATTACTCACAATATTTATCAATTATTTTATTAGTTATTAATAATTAAAAATACAAAATTGTTTTTACCTTAAAACCAAAGAACTTTTTTAAAAATGAATAAGTACTCCTAATTGCTCACAAAATGCCTAACCGTAATACGCAATTGCTCAAACTATTTACTAATTATTTAATTAGTAATTAATAATTAAAAGTACAAATTTTTTTATTCCTTAACCAATCAGAATATTGAATAGGTGCACAAAATTGCTCACTAATTGTTAATTTCAAATCTGCAGTTGCTCACAATATTTATCAATTATTTTAATAGTTATTAATAATTAAAAATATAAAATTGTTATTTCCAAAAAACCAAAGAACTTTTTCAAAAATGAATAAGTACTCCTAATTGCTCACAAAATGCCTAACCGTAATACGCAATTGCTCAAACTATTTACTAAATATTTAATTGGTAATTAATAATTAAAATACAATTTTTTTTCCTTAACCGATCATAATATTTATTAGGTGCACAAAATTGCTCACTAATTGCTCATTTCAAATCTGCAATTGCTCACAATATTTATCAATTATTTTATTAGTTATTAATAATTAAAAATACAAAATTGTTATTGCCTTAAAACCAAAGAACTTTTTTAAAAATGAATAAGTATACCTAATTGCTCAGAAAATGCCCAACCGTAATACGCAAGTGCTCAAACTATTTACTAATTATTTAATTAGTAATTAATAATTAAAAGTAAAAAAAATTTCCTTAACCGATCATAATATTTAATAGGTGCACAAAATTGCTCACTAATTGTTCATTTCAAATCTGCAATTGCTCACAATATTTATCAATTATTTTATTAGTTATTAATAATTAAAAATACAAAATTCTTATTGCCGTAAAACCAAAGAACTTTTTTTAAAAATGAATAAGTACTCCTAATTGCTCACAAAATGCCTAACCGTAATACGCAATTGCTCAAACTATTTACTAATTATTTAATTAGTAATTAATAATTAAATGTAAAAAAATATTTTCCTTAACCGATCATAATGTTGAATAGGTGCAAAAAATTGCTCACTTATTGCTCATTTCAAATCCGCAATCGCTGGCACTATCAATTAATGATTTAATTAATTATTAATAATTAAAAATACAAAATTTTTTCTGCCTATTATCCTTAGAACCATCTAACTTTTCTTGAAATAAATAATTTTTCTTAATTGCTTATAATTAGTTCAATTCAAATCCGCAATGGCTTACACTATTACTTAATTATTGGATTAGTTATTAATAACTTAGTGTACAAAATTATTTTTGCCTAATGTTCGTAGGCTAATGCACTTTTTTTAATTTTATTTCTAACAAACTTCTTACCGAACGCTCTTTTAATTTTTGTAATAATATATCTTTTATTTATCGGTTATTAAAATTATTATTACATTTTAAATTATGACGTCATAGGCGGCAAGAAGTATGTCACTTGTGCGCATGTGATTGATTCAACTCGTTACTCATGTGCAACTGGCAAAATTTAATATTTTTGTACAACCTGTAAGTCATTTTTTGTTCATATTTTATTTATATTTCCTGTAATTTAATCATTAATTATTAATAAATAGCTCTATGAAGTTATACATTTTAATTTGGATCTTGTTAAGTAATTTATTGCAAATTATGTATAACCTTAAGCAAGTTAATGTTATTATTAAAGCTAAAACTCCGAAATTCAATTTTATTTGATTATATTGATTCCTTTTTATGGCAAGATCATTGAGTAGGTATGTGTTTTTTTATATATTTATAGGTACTATAATTAAATCTTATTGAGATTTGCCCTCAACCGTAAAAATTTGTGATAAATCCACGCCGCGTGAATATAAGTGCCTTTGTATTCACGCAGGGGAACGGCAGATTTAGTACCGCATACTTTTTTTTTCGTTGTTTTTTTATTGAATTTGTACCAGATATTAAGACAACTAAGCCATTAATTTTCGTGTGAGTTTTATATTTTTAGAACATGGGATTAATTAACAATATCAATAAAAATATTTTAATAAATAAACGTAATATAAGCATAAACTAAACGCAATTATGTTACTAGAAGTTGCCATATGTAATATAAGAGAAATATCG